CCCTGGATAATGGAAATCTTTCCGGTGTTCGTCTCTGGTGTAATGTCTATTGAACTTTTCAAAAGGAGTGATTGTGACGCTCCTGTGTCTCTTAGGACGGTGATATTCTTCTGAGACAACGGATCCCCTGGTTTGCTAATGATGGCTTCGGCAATAAAAGATGAAAAGTCAACTTTTCTCGATCCCTCGAGATCGGTAGACTCGGAAGAAACTGGATGGTGGCGAGAACAGTCAAAATGTGACTGCACATAATGTGTGGAGACTTGACTACCTTCTTGCGGACACTTAGGGTTAGAGTCCTTTAGAATTCTAGAGTTCATAGTTGAACTGGCTGCTTGAGGGGATAGAGCATAGTGCGCGGAAGTACGCACCACCTCTCTGTTATTCTGAAGACGTTTGTAACAGTCCTTGACAAGATGACCAGGCCTTTTGCAGAACTGGCATACTGCTCAACGATTGAGAGTTGATCTTGGTTTCTCTCTGGACTGTGATGTCTTCAAATGTTGGCCAACAGGAGGATTGCTGCCAAAAAGGGGAAGCACGGGGTTGAGGCGGTTTCCTGACACTGGTGGTTTCTTATGCACCAACATATATGTGTCAGCCGACTCAGCAGCCTTCTGGATGTCAGTTATCTTGTTATCCAGTATGTGTAGTCGTATCTCTTCAGGCAGGGACGATAGGAATTCTTCCCTTAGGATAAGTGACCTGAGTTTCTCAAACTCAGAAACTCCCTCCGAGTGTAGCCACCTTGAGAATATTTTCTCCTTTTCAAAGAGAAATTCCACATATGATTGTGTGGGTAACTTGCGGAGTGTTCGGAATTTTGTCCGATAGGCCTCGGGCGTCAGTGCGTAGGCCTTTAAAATGGCAGTCTTGACCAAACTATAGTTATTTTGAACGTCGTGAGAGAGTGCCTGGTATGTTTTTGCAGCTTTCCCAGTAAGGACAGCGCTCAATAAAGCAGTAATGGAAGTTTCGGGCCATTCACATGTCTTCGCTAAACTCTCAAACGAGTTAAAGAAAACGACCAAATCTGTTTCATCAAATTTAGGAACTAATTTCCCAAATTTGGCAATCACTTGCCCTACCGACAACTTTTTTGGATCTACCGGAGAAGTGACATCACTAACTTGACCAAACTCTAATTCCAACCTCCTCTTATCTAAAGCAATTTTAGCCTCTAACTCCTGTTTCTCTAGAGCAACTTTCTCCTTCTCTAGAGCACTTTTAGTTTCAAACTCCTTTTCTTTTAATAAAAGCTCCCTCTCTTCTATAGATTTCTCCTCGCGGAGCAACACACTAGCTAACAAACTTTCGTCAAATACTCCTTCATTAATGAAATGAACAACAATTTTATCTCTCAACACCTCTGACTTCTGCGTAACAGAATAATCCAATTTCAATTCCTTAACAACACTAACCAAAACTTTTCTACTCAACTTTTCTACATCTTCAACAGTAGGATTAGCCAAAAAAGACTCCATAACACTACTTGAAAATCACAACAAGCCTAGATCCTTTAAATTAACACACCGTGTTGGGCCGTGTACTTGACCTCTAAATGTAGGACGTGACACGTCTGCTTATTTGACCTAGATACTCTAGCCTGAGCGCGCGTTGTAAGAACACTGCGCTACTGGATATAAAAACAACTAAATCCAACTCCTTAGTATTCAACTGATATAACCAACAACTGGAACGACAGATTAAATCTCGGCGAGACCCCACTTTGTAACGTTAACCTATCTATCAGCTAAATAGAAGGAGAACGTCCCCGGATTCTTTTTTCGGGGTCATATGCAAATGCCTTTAGGCCTAAGTGGATGAACACTTAACACAACGACCCACTAGGGCTCGAATTTAATGTCTAGGGGAGCTAGTGATACTATTGTAATTAACTCTCATCCAATCTACATACGACCTTTTAATCAGCGAACTCAGTTGTGGCAAAACACAAAGATGAACTAGATAAAATATTTAATGTATAAAATATCAAAAACCCAACTTACAAAATGTAGGAAAAAAAACACTATCACAGATTTCTACACTGTCAAAAGAACAGCCACAGGCCACACAACACTGCTGTAGCTTCAAGACTTACTTAGCGACAAGTAATATTAAACTAGAAGACTAAATCAACTGAAGAAAGCAAGGCACACACAGGTCTTAAGTACTCTCACGTTCAAATGGTCAGAGTTTATAGCCGGACAATATGGACGGCTGCCTGAACGAGGTAAAACTGCCCCGTAGACTGCCAGGTCAAGAAAAACTGCCTCGTGTTGCGAGTGTGCAGTGCAATTAAAGACTTCTGTGACAGGGGAGGTTATCCTCAACTCATGTCGCCATTGGTTGGGATAATCATCTGATCAGAATCATTCAATCAGATTTTAATGGAAAATTTCTATGTCTCAAACACCTTAATAAGTCAGTGGAAAAACCCCAGGTGTTACACCATCATTCCATATAAGGAATTATACAATGTCAAAATAAAAATGACTCGACCTAAGTAGGTCACAATACGAGAAAGTAATAAAAACAATTTAACATAATGGAATATTAAATCAAACAAGCGAACTACAGTAGGGAAAATAATCACTACCTTAATATAGATATGTATAAATCTACACATTTAGTTGTAATTGTCAAATTCAACCACATCAACAATTATATTACTATTTAATATAGTAGGTTAATACTATTAGTTTTGCAAAAAATATTTTCTACAATCAGAATTAAATATATTTTTTCTTAAATGCTTAAAACATCACAGCATAAAGAATGTTTTGAAAGATGAGTTGGTATAAAACAGCGCTTTTAAGGCAACTGAAAAACTAAATCTAACAGGTAGCACATTCTGATAAATAGACCACAGCATTTTTAATTATGGTTCTTGCACTTTAGATGATTACATTTTTTAATTGTCTACTGCTTATTTTGTTTTTTAAACATTTTTTAAAACATAATGATAAGGTATAGGTCAGGGGTCGGCAACCTGCGGCTCGCGAGCCGCATGCGGCTCTTTTGATATCAAGATGCGGCTCTCCAGCTCCTTGAACAAATACTAATAATCTAAATAAAAAATAAAATATTTGAAATTTAAAAAAAATTTAGTGGCTCTTTAAAACCAGGGAAATTTTGAAAATTGTAACTTTTGGCTCTTCCGCTTCAAAAGGTTGCCGACCCCTGGTATAGGTTAGATCACTGTAATGATCACGCCTCTTAAATGGTATTTGCAAGAACAATATTTACATAGTTTTACCTGTTCAGAAGCCATGATTCTAATATATATATATATATATATATATATATATATATGGTGCCCTGTCAAAACGGCCCGGGACAAATCGGCCCCGTCAAAACGGCCCCGTTAATACGACCCCGTCAAATCGACTCCCGACAAACCGACCCCGTCAAAATAGCCCCGTCAAAAGGGCCCCGACTTATTGGCTCCCGTCAAATGGGCTCCCGTCATATTGACTTGCGACATATAGGCTCCCGGCAAATGGGCTCCCGACATTTAGGCTCCCGACAAATAGACTTCCGACATATTGGCTCCCGACATATAGGCTCAGGACATATTGGCTCCCGACAAATGGGCTCCCGACATATTGGCTCCCGACATAAGGGCTCACGATAAATGGGCTCCCGACAAATGGGCTCACGACATATTGGCTACCGACAAATGGGCTCCCGACATATTGGCTCCCGACAAATGGGCTCCCGACAGTTGGGCTCCCGACAAAAGGACTCCCGCCATATTGGCTCCAGACAAATGGGCTCCCGATAAATGGGCTCCCGACAAATGGGCTCACGACTTATTGGCTCACTTTAAAATGGCTCCGGTTAAATAACTCCTGACTTAAAACACTTCCCGACAAAGAAACCGTTTTCTGAGGAGTTATCACATTTTTATCTTTAAACAGTTCGCTTTCTGCAAAGTTTCGAGTATTGTAATTTTGTATTAATCTGATTTAAGTGCATGCTGAGCTGTTGTTTACGCCACACGACCCAAGCTCAGCTGTTTCTGTTTAAATTTAGCATGCATGTTACACATTTTGCGTTTGTTGTCTAGGTTTTTCACAAGTTAATTTCAATGTATGGATGTCCACATGGACCCCCCTCCCTCCTTCCCTGTCCACGACAGTCGATGTTAATCGACACTCCCCCCACCATGTTGACGTCATAAAAGGATGACGGCTAGGAAACATGCTTTTGAAATATTGCTCCCTGGACTACAAAAACAACACACGAAGATGTTAACAATCATACTAGCTAGTATTACAAGGCGTGGGGGGAGGGGTGGTCTGTACATTATGCATGCGTTTGAGCAATGTGTTAGTCTACTTTACATCGCAAGCCTCTATAGAGAGATGTTATTCGGGGAGGGGTAGATGGTTATCTGCTAGTTTGGTATCAATGACAGGCTGAGATGAGTAGCGGTATTATCTTTGTGTGGTATCAATGCTAGATGAAGAGCGGTAAAGGTTTTGTGTTAACTTGAAGTCAGTATGACATGTGGAGAAGGTTAAAGATTTGTTAGTATGACATCAGTGACAGATGGATAGTGATGCAGATGTTGTTTTCGTTTCAGATTCGTTTGAGATTATTAAATCTTATGACTAATTGTATAAAGACGTAACCAATTTACCCCCACCTACCAACCACATTAGGTTTCTCACATCATATGCTACCGTAGATTCTTTTTACAATGTCTACTACAAATAAGTAAGTCGTAGATCGTTGAACTCAGATACACTTTATTTTATTGACACGTACGTTTTTATTAAAAAAAGATTATATGTCAAAGCAATCCACAAATTATTTAGGAAAAGCCTTGTTCAAGTTAAAATATTTATTGCTATTTACTTGACAGCAGTATGAAAAAAATCTTCAGAATGTTTGGCAATTTAAAAAAAAAATCAACAATCCCTAGAAAAGTATTGAAAAAAATATGAATTAACAAAACATGGCACAACTATTGGAAACTGGAAATTGTTATCCTACATTGAAAGATTGTGAGCAATACGTCTCAGGTAATCCATGTTTGCTATCATTCCATACATAGGCAAAATTGACTCCAATCTCCGGTTCAGCTGAACGTACTTTGACTTTGAAGAAGTTGGCCATTGTACGCCGTCTCTGATACGTTGCAGTTGTATTTCAACATGATCCTGCTCTTTGCGAAAATGCTCAACAATTTTATAAATGGATGGGTGGTGGCAATCAACACATTGCTGAAACGCCCTGTGCCAGCCTTCGACAGAATTGTTAGTGCGAGGCAGACCTTCAGTGACCCTTGAGTAAACATTCCATGTTTGTATGGGAAAGCGTGGATTAACTCGAACGTTTAATCTTAGCCTTCCAATGTAAGTATCCTCCCAATAAGCAATTAAATCGTTCATTGTTGGTGGACAGTTTAGAGCAAGCTCATCAAACACAGCGATAACATTTACAGGAGGGACAAAACTGAGAGAAAGCAGCATTTTGACATGGATGCGAAAGTTTTCATCATTTTTATATTCCTCCTCATGGTTTAGTTGCTGTACTTTTCGCCAAAGACATTTTCCAAGATGAAATAAGCACCCAACGCTTTCAGTTGTTGGAAATACACGTTGAACAGCATTTTGACTAGCTTTTTCAAAGTCTGACATGACACTTTGAGGATTTAAAGCAGGCTGTAAAGTTTTAAGAGTATCAAATAATCGAAAATAAGAGTCTTCAGTTTTGTTAGTCAGCAGCACATATACCATTGGAAGAGCTTTATTTTGTATTAATCCATGAATCGTAAAAACCTGCATGTATAGTTCTGGAGCAACTTTAAAAGTCCCATCTATAAACCAGTGTGAATTGACTCTCAGTGCGTCTAAATTATCATAAGTACCAAACATTAGTATTCGATGTGGGTCCAGAGCTCCCGAATCCCATAATAGAAACGGTGAACCTCGGTTTGTCAGTTGTTGGTGTAGAGGAATTACTATATCTGCTACAGTCCGAGGAGTTACATATGTTTCTAGAACAAGCTTCCTTTTACGCTCTATAACTCTCTGACAGGCATTATATGATGGTAACAAAGCAACCGCATCCATCGATATGCCTTCTGTGGCGCTTCTAATTATTTGTCTTGGTCTGCCGAACTCCAGTGTCGCATTTTCACGCATTTTCACCACTGCCTTGATTGTCTGTATCTTTTCAGGATCAGGCGCGTGGTTGTGCTGGGACACAACTGTTATATTTTCATTTAAAACTTTGACTCGCCCGCGACAGTTTGCTTGCAGGCATCTCCAGGAAATACTCCAGTCAGCGTTACATTTGGCAAATTTATAGCGGTATCCTTCATACAAGAGCATATCTTTGCCTTTCTGGGTTGTTGTTTTTTCCATTCTCTGAAATAAATGAAACAGAATTTTGTTTGTCATTTTTAGCATCAGGCATGAATAAAAATGTAGAAACTGGAATTAATTGTTATGAGAATGCTGGTTGTGATTTACAAGCAGTGTTTGTTCCAGACTTTTTTCTCCGAGGGGGGCACTACTTGAAATTTTCGGGGGGGGGGGGGGCCGGTAGACTTTTTTTCGGTGGGGGGGGAGGGGAGGGGCGGTAAAAAAATTTCGGGGGGGGGGGGGCTTCGTCCCCCGAAGAGATGCCTGGAAGAAACTCTGTTTACAAGTGTCTTCCACATAGATAATTAGAGATCCTCCGTAGACATAAGATGTAATACGATCTTTACACCCCTTCTTCTGTCTCGGTATAACAAAACCCCAGACTTATCTTGAAAACGTTATGTTGACGTTTAGATAAGTTCAGAAAAAATATGTATTAGTATTTAAATTAATTTTTTTTAAATGAAATGTTATTCAGAGTCAGTGGCGGAACTAGAAAAAAAAGGCCCCTCACCGCAGATTTTTTTTTGGGCCCATATATATATATATATATATATATATATATATATATATATATATATATATATATATATATATATATATATATATATATATATATATATATATACACGAGCTGGCCCTATTCAAGTGAGAAACACGGATTCTCTAAATCTAGTCCAACACACCAAACTGACGCCGATTTTTATGAGGCTTTCATCAAAAGTTACCAACCGTGTAGTTTTAGAGTGTGCCCTGTTTTCCAGAAGTTGAATTAAATATTAACAATGTCTTGGATCTTAGGGCGCGGGTTTGTCCACACTACCAACTAGACCCGCTAAGGCATGCTGTAAGTCCCTCGGTGACGGCCCAGGTGTCAGAGGAGTCACGGGGCTCTTGGGAGCTACCGGTTACATTACACAGGTGATGGGCGCGACACATTGTTTCTTCCGGCAGAGCCCCCTTCCACTCCCCCGAAAACAGTCTACCGCCCCCCCCCACCTCGAATGAAATGGAAATTTATATAGAACATATATACTTTTACCAATGTCTGACCCCCCCCCCCCCTGGATAATTTAGCCCGCCCTCCACGAAAATATCAAATGCACCCCCCTCCTCGGAGAAAAATGTCTGGAAGAAACTTTGGTGCAACACTTGATTAGATTTAGTCATCGAGTGTAGTAGCGAGACTTGTGGGAACTTTTAAACGACTGTCTGTAGGGGTGGGGGGGGGGGGCAACCTGCTCATATGTGATGCGCTCAGGATGACACTGCCGCCGGTGGGTTCAAGTAGTAACCCCATCCGCTTATGCAAGATCACATATTTCCTTTGGGTGTCCCCACTCCAATATGTAAACAAATGTTAGGCGTATGACAGAAACCTTTGCGGGGCTGTACTCAACAGCTTCCCAAGTTTTCATGGCGATTGGGTGAATGATGCAGTAATGCATAATAGACAGAAAAATATTTTTCACATGTACAACTATATGTGGATAATCTTCTGATTTAGTGGGGGGGGGGGAGGGGGGGGAGGAAATCCACAAATGACGTCACATTTTTTAACGACTAACAAAATGCCAGACCCTCACACACCCCCAACTCAATGACGTCATGTATAAATAGTAATTGACTATTAATAATGTTCAATCAATTCTAAACGTTCTAATAAATTTCTAAATAATTATATTAAAAAATTATCTTACCTTCCATGTGAATTAGATGCACCAGTACTGTACACGTGTAGTGTCTGACAAAATGTGCGGAAGTGTTGAATGTTGCCAGGAAGTAGTTCATAAACGATACATTTATCTACTCGATACTTGCAAGGCTAAAAAGAGGGGTGGGATGGGGGTCGGCTCGGGGAAAAAACTTGAAAGAGACAACAAAGCGTTTATGTACGTCAGCATCGCCCTTTGTAAAACTTACTAAGGGGAGATAATTCCAAGTATAGGCCCTAAAAGTTTACTATTAAATTACTTGTAAAATAAAAATAAAAGTAAACGTATATAAAACTGAAGTTTCTATTATTATATTATTTTTTATTATTTGTAGGATACAAGATAATACAGGATACAAATTCAACCACTATCACAAACACCTATTTAACATTGAAAAATGTTTAATGAATTTCGGGTTCCTAACCAAAGAAGTACCGCGCATCACGAAAGCCCACTTCATATGTAGCGGCTTCTCGTGCCATGGACTTTGTTGTTTTTTTAAAAAGAATTTTGCCGGCGACAGCGTGTGTTTGATTGTAGGGAAATAGAACTCGGCCTTGTTGGTGCCCATCCCTTGCCCCATCCGCCACAGTACACACAGTACAGTTACGTGTCCTCTATTTGGCTATCAAAAGGGGGCAACGAGTCAAAGAAGTCATATTTTTTTAATAACCTGGAAGCATATTGACTGTAATTGTATCGTAGGGACCCTAGCCCGGCATGTGTATAATGGGCTGCAGCATCCTACACCCCTAAGTAGAAATGTAACAGATGACCACTAAACTAAAAATTGATACAGTACAAGAAATACTTTTAAAAAAAATTAAGACATGGCGACCTAAAGCTAAGGACGCTTTATTATCTTAGGCTTATTTCTGTAGTCCATTGAGGAATGGTGGGTGTTGACATGAGCCATTATCATTATGTCGGGAGCCGTATTGACGAGAGCCAAAATAACGAGCCTTTTTGTCAGGAACCATATTGACGGGAGCCTATTTGTCGCGAGCCTAAATAACGGGAGCCTATATGACGGGAGCCACATAGACGGGAGTCAATTTATCGAGAGTCTTAATGACCGGAGCCTTTTTGTCATGAGCCAATTTAACGGGAGCCAATTTGACGCGAGCCTAAATGAAGGAAGCCCTTTTATCAGGAACTATATTGACGGGAGCCCTTTTGCTGGGAGCCCTTTTGTCTGGAGCCATTTTTGTAGTGAGCCTAATTGACTGGAGCCTAAATGACGGGAGCCTAAATGATATGAGCCAAATTGTCGGTTGTCGTAATGACGGGAGCCTATTTGTTAGAATCCTTATTGACGGGAGCCTTTTTGTCGCGAGCCTTATTGACGGTAGCCCTTTTGACTGGAGCCTAAATGACGGGATCCATTTGTCTATGAACCTTTTGACGGGGCCGATTTGACGGGGCTATTTTGACGGGGCCGTTTTGTCGGGGTCGTTTTGACGGGGCCGTTTTGTCATTGGCCGAATTGACGCCGCACGATATATATATATATATATATATATATATATATATATATATATATATATATATATATATAAAGCAATTTATGTCTGTGTGTTTTTTATGCATAACTAAACCTCTTAACATCGCCGTGAAATTTTGGGATGTTGTTGAGAATATCCCAGCGGAGGTTTCTGCGAAAAAAAAATTCAAATTCGCAGGGTTGGCGCCCCGGCAGGTCGCGATTTATTTTTTCTCTATATACGGTATATAAAAATAAAAGTCGATTTTGTTTTGACACCATTCATCCCATCGCTATCAAACTTTGGTGAGTTCATTAGAAAATTCTGGGGAGGGGTTCTGTAAAAAAATTATTTTAATTTCGCAAGGGCGGCGCCACGAGAGGAATAACTGCTATAAATAAGAAGAAAATACAATCATTTATAAACGCATGCCTCAAAAAAATGTCCTGCGAATTCGCTGGCCTAAAACGATTAGAAATGATGTTCTATGGCAACGGACAAATCATTTGCCAGTTGAAGTTGAGATCCTCCAGAGAAAATTGAAATGGATCGGCCACACACTCAGGAAGCCTGTATACAGCATAACAAGACAGGCCCTCACCTGGAATCCACAAGGCAGGAGGAGGAGAGGCAGACCAAGAAAGACCTGGAGACGTGACTTGGAAAAAGACACCAAGAAGATTGGATACACCAGGGGACAGTTGGAGAGACTAGCCCTGGACAGAGAGGTCTGGAAAGCTCTTGTCAGCGGCCTATGTCCCAGTAGGGACGACAGGCAAACATGACATGACATGATGACGGTATATAAAAATAATAAAAGTGAATCGCAGTGACACCGTTCACACGTTCGCCATGAAAATTCGGTTGAAAAGATGTTGAGAATATCTATGGGGAGGTTTCTGCGTAAAAAAACATGTTCAAATTCGCATGGGTGGCCCCCCGTCAGGATGCGATTTTTTTTCTCTCTATATAAGGTATATAAAAAATATAAGTCGATTGCGGTTTCACACCGTTCATCCGATAGCCATCAAACTTTGGGGAGTTGATTAGAACACTCCAGGGAAGGGTTCTGTAAAAAAGTCATTTTATATTTCGCATGGGCGGCGCCATGGGATGGTGGAATCTTTCTCTATATGCGGTATATAAAATAAAAGACAATTGCGGTTCCGGGTGCCATAAAACTTTAGGGAGGGGAATGGGGGTGTGTGGTGGGGGGGAGGGTGATTTGATTTTGGAAGGGCGGCCCCCCCGGCAGGATGCGATTTGGCGCCCTGGTCTTTCCCGTGAGCGCTATGGCGACTACGATCGGTCTAAACAGTGTGATAGACAATGGATAGAATGTGGCGTTACAAACGCTCACTAAATTGAATCAGGCGTGTCCACTGGCGCCATGGTAGGGTGTGATTTGGTTGCAAATAAAATTTCTGGTTCGGCCCCCAAAGGCTCACATGGGCCGCTGAGGGCCATATAATACTTTTTATTTTAATAAAAATTAACTAAGATTAGATTATTAACTGGGATGTTTCCTTTTGTTCGTAAAAAAATCCAAAGAGTCGTCACTTTGCGAATGATGTAATTATCATCTATTTTTATGCAAGCCAATCAGAAATTGAAATCGAGCATCTAATAATAGACCATTAGTTACGCTAACATATTGCATTAGTCACACTTATGTTTAAAACACGTCAAATAATTTTTTTACGTGCTGAGGAAAAAATCCTGTTCATTTGTGTCACTTTAGCAAATGACGCAATCTGCATCATTGTTAACAGAGTGCTATTTGGCACTCTGGGTTATCCTATGGGCACGATGGCGCCTGTTAGTTTTAAGGAGCCAG